TTTCGACGTTAAGCTTTCCTTTCATATTTGGGCGCACATTTTTTGCTGCGCAGAGGCGAGTGCGTATCTTGGCTGCAACGGGATAGTGGTCCGAGTCGAGGTTTGGGCCTCGGAGTGTGCGTACGTCTAAAACACTGGAAGCGTGCCTTCCGTCTATCACAACATGATCGATTTGGTTTCTCGTTGTTCGATCCGGAGACAGCCACGTACATGGATATTTTTTTGCCTGGACCTAGTACTGCATACTACCATGTTTCGGGCCCCGGCGAGGTCGATCAGCCTCAATCCGTTGTCGGACGTTTCGTAGTGGAGGCTGAATTTTCCAACGGCNAACATGATCGATTTGGTTTCTCGTTGTTCGATCCGGAGACAGCCACGTACCTTGATGGATATTTTTTTGCCTGGACCTAGTACTGCATACTACCATGTTTCGGGCCCCGGCGAGGTCGATCAACCTCAATCCGTTGTCGGACGTTTCGTAGTGGAGGCTGAATTTTCCAACGGCGGTTCCAAAGATCCCTTCCATGCCCACCCTGGCATTGAAGTCGCCAAGCACGATTTTGTTATAATGACGGGGGCAGCGCTCGTACGTGCGCTCCAAGCGCTCATAGAAGAGATCCTTGGATGCCTCATCCTTCTCTTCCGTCGGGGCATGGGCGCAGATGAGCGAGATGTTGAAGAATCTCGCTTTGATGCGGATTGTGGCTAGACGCTCGTCCACCGGGGTGAACGACAGTACTCGGCGACGGAGTCTCTCTCCCACCACAAATCCAACTCCGAATTTGCGCTCCTTTACATGGCAGCTGTAGTAGACGTCGCAAGGCCCCAGACATTGTTTGCCTTGCCCCGTCCAACGCATTTCTTGGATGGCGGTGATGTCAGCTTTTGTCCTTACGAGGACATCAACCAGCCGGGCAGAGGCACCTTCCCCATTAAGGGTCCGGACATTCCAGGTGCATGCCCTCAAATCGTAGTCCTTTAAACATTTGCCGTGGTCGTCATCATAAGGGGGGGTCTCTTCCGAGGCTTTGCCTTGCTTCTTCACTTCAAGTGGTTCTTACGTGGTGGGTCCTAAACCCAACGCACAACCCATTGCTGGGACGGGGGTGGTTTCGCCACCAAATACTCGTTTATATAGCGAGCCGCTTTCTCCAAACAGACACCCGCTTGCAGCCGCACCTACTGGTGAACAGACGCTGCAGACTTCAGTGAGCCCTTAAACCGAATAAGTCGGAGTGGCCCCACCGAAGCTCCTTCTCTTTCTGCCGTGGCCCAAGGCTCCACTCGGATTGGTTACCGCATCTCGCACATGGGTTGCTCACGTTGCCAGAGTGCGCGAACGAGGACGCAAGAGTCGGGATTGAGTATAGCCATGCAGTTACAGCTGCATACCCAGAGCAACGACTATAGCCCATTGCACTATGTTACATATTTGGGTAATTTTTAGCATTTTCTATAAAGTAGAATATATCTAACACTTCAATAAACAATTGGATATTAATACTGGAAGTCTCCTGAAGAGAACCACAGTTTTCCGGTCGAAAAATATTGATTTTCAAGAGTTTTATACCATTTTTACGAAAAATTGTTTTTCTCCATATAAAATACATGGAAAACTTTGAGCGCCTTGAGCACTCCAAGGCGAATTAATATAAGGTGGTGTTACTAGCTCAGCTGATTTTGTGTATGTGTTTCGCCGCATGGCTTCTGCTATCAAATTGAAAAATTTTGTTTGAATTTCTACACACACTCTTACAGATTTTGACAGTTTATGCCGCCAAAGCAAAAACAAAATACATTTAGATTTTTGTTTTTGTACTCCTGCTATCACCTTATATTAATTCGCCTTGGAGCACTCCCTGAATATTTTTTTCGGTATATAACAATCCTAGGGGGTGGCGGCATTAAAAATCCGACCTTATTTTTTTACATATATTTTTGGACCACTTTAATGTACATATACATATGCATTATTTAATTTGCCCACGCTTACGAGTCGAATATTACTTGATTTTTGTCTGAAATATTTTAATTAAATTTAAACATGATTTTTGCGTTTCTATTTTCGTTTTTGTTGTACTCATCTTTGCTTACACTTTCCCCAATTACTGCAAATAGCAGTCTCTGAGCACATCGATCTTAACGGGATCCATTGTAACCAGACAAAGCGTAAGCGTTCGTTTTCGTCTTTAATTTAATTTTGCTGTCTTAAAAATATTTGTGAAATAATTTCTATTGCTTTAATTGCGCAAAGGAGGCTTCACACATATACATATGCACCTGCGCATTTGTATCTGCAACTTTTCTCTTTGTGTTGAAAGTAAAAGACGTTTTTTACAAAAATCATCTTATAAATTTTTGTTTCTTTCCGTGCAGGTGATTTTCAGCCAATCATCCGATCTTATGGAACGCCAATCTTCCGCTGCATCTTCTACGGAAGAGACCTCTGGTCCGCAGGGTGATCTGAGTAGTGGCTCGCGCCGTGATGATGGCCAGCCTGATTTTACCGTCTTCAAAGACTTTGATTTTCTTGAATACGAGGATAGCATTGCCGGCGAGTCGACAGACAACTTCAATTGGGGCGTAAGACGTCATCAGCTATTCGAAGGTGAGGAAGAGCGCTTGACCTGTGGCAGCGGTATCGGCGGTGGTTCGATCAAAGGTGGTCATTCATCTGCGCTCGAGGACAGCTTCAGTGAGAAGACACCTATATTAAGCAAAAGACGTCGACAAACTGCAGACGATTCATCTGACGATGATGGCGAATCGGAATCGCCTATTGACGAAGACCATCGCCAGGCGTTCATGAAGTCGGCGTACAACGTGGGTCCTCCCACCTCCCTAAGCCTACGTGAACGGCGTCGTCGTAACTCTGTTTCTCGCAGCGATACAAGTGGTTCCAGTGCAGGCGACTTGGGTGACATAACACCGTGTAATGCGTCGCCTCATTTGCCAGGTATTATACGCTTCGGTGCACCCATACGCGATGAAGCTGAGGAGAACTGGCGCAAGCAGCTACAGTCGATGTTGATCAATCAGCCCTCGGCGCATACATCTGAGCTTCTAATGCAGCTTTATCGACTTATAAAAGAGCTGACTTTCAAGACGATTAGCATATCAAAGGAGGCAAAGAAATTCTTCACCGGCATTGGTTCGCAACTAGGCAATCGCATATCGCTATTCACTGATTTACTTAGCTCGCGCGCTGATCCACCACGCGTATGGTGTAGTGATACGCAGACAACTACACCCCGGCTATTTGAAACACTGCGATTTAATGTGTTAGAAGTGCAGGAGCACTTGGAGACTTTCTTCGACCGCAAGGATCAAGTGTTGGAGGTGAGTGGAAACTATATACATATTTTAAATAATTACAATTCCAATGGAAGTTACTTGCTTCTAGTGCCTCGACGCTGTTAAAACGTCATGCAAATTGTCACTCTTCAATGAAGCGGATGTGGCTGCATCTAGTATGGAGTTGACAAGTAGCACCAATATTGGTTACATGACCTTCGACCCGGCCTCCTCCGAAGTGGTACTAGATCTGGGTCGCGCATTATATAAATTGATGTTTCAATTACTGCTTCTAATCGAGTCAAACCACAAAATATCCTCCAATGTTGTTAATCATTTCAGAATCAACGAAAAGGTGAGCATCCGGATAGATTTGAACAAAACATGTATTTATCTGTGAGGTGATATCATTTGATTTGCAACTGCTTACAGATGCACGACATATCCGATTTATATGCATTAGTGCGCGACGCCTTGGTACGCAGCGTCAGTGAGGCGGAGCTCGAATGTTTCGAGGCAGCATCGACATCCACCGAAGGCGAACACACTCCCACTCCTTCGCCAGGCATACCCATGACTAGCGAGGAATTCGAAGTAACACTACAAGAACTTATCGAGGGGCAAAAATGGTCGGCTGCCATAATGCATGTGCGCCAATACAAACGCATTTCGCAAATGACTGCGTCCAACCCAAACTTAACCATTTTTAGCTACAACAATTTGGATAGTCGTTTAAAGTTCGATGAAATGCCCATTATACTGAATGCTTATGCACAAAGCATAATGAAAGATCGTACAGGTATGTGTTTAGTGCGATGCAGAGGTCATAGAATACAAGATTGCGCAAAGGTAAACAAAGCCGAATAAAGGGATAAAATAAACTGTCAAACTGTTAATTTTCTTAATATTAAATTTCGCGATAGGATATGTTGATTCATGGGCGTAGCCAGAACGAAATTTAGGGGGGGGGCGAGGGGCGGCCCTACAAAAAAAAATCAAAACCAATAACTTACTTACTAAAAAATTGCTTATTATAGCTTAAAATTATTGTAGCCAATAGAGGTAAATATGTTGTACAAAAAACAAATAAACAGAAGTTCACAAAAGTTGATATAAAACTATTCGTCGATTTAAATTGTTAACTTTTTACTGAGCATGTTTATTTTACGAGGAGGAAGCATCGAAAGCCTAACCTCGTCAGTGTGAGACTTTAACCCAAACAGAACTTCCTACCGTCCTGTACCGTTCCCCTCCTGGTCCCACCATCAAGGATTTCGTCGGGATTATAACACTGTGTGACTGATAAAGTTATAGATCTATTCTCTTCTTCTTCTTCTTATTTGGCTCTGTAACCGCCAAAGCCTCGTCCTTCTATTCCATCGGGGCATTGGCACATATGAATGAGATGTTGAAGAATCTCGCTTTGGTGCGAATTGTGGCTAGACTTTCGTCCACTAGAGTGAACGCCGGTCTCTCTCCCACCACAAATCCAACACCGAATTGCACTCCTTTACGTGGCAACTGTAGTAGACGTCGCAAGGCTCCACGCTTACCTTCCTGGCCCCATCCATCGCATTTCGTGGATGGCGGTGATGCCAGCCTTTATTTTTCCCTACGACATCAACCAGCCGGGCAGAGGCACCATCCCGATTAAGGGTTCGGATATTCCAAGTGCATACCCTAAAATCATAGTCCTTGCTATGTCTGCCGTGATCGTCATCAAAAGAAGGGGGTATCACCCGAGGCATGTGTTTTTTTCCATTGGGCAAGGTTTTAACGTGACGGGACCCAAACCCAGCGCACGCGGGCCACTCCCAGTTGAATGGCAGTCAAAAGCTTTTCAGTACTGGGAAATGTACATAGTGGTCAAAAGTGAATATCTCTACTAAACCCTGATGTATTTTTTAAATTCATAGCTCTCTACATACCTGTATAGTAAACCAAATAGCCGGGCCAGACGTTATTCAAAATAAAAAATATAAAAAAATAAACTTTTTCCGTATACTCTGTAATATTCCTCCTTGGAAAGGTAAACTAACAATTTATAATCATTGCTTTGCAGGGAAATATCTTCTCTTAAATTATATACATAGGTACGGTATAAATATGAGGACGTATTGAACATTTTGAGTATGCAGATTTTTTATGCTGGTATATTCATTTATGCTAAATATATGTATTACTTGATTTTGTTTTGTCACACTTAAGAAGTAAACGTCTTGGCTGATCACCCAACCGGTCTATAGTTTTATCAATAATCTCAATAATCTGTGATACAAATCTTTCGTTGTACGCTTAGAAAAGACACAAACTTAAAGACAAAGTAATAAACAATTAAACTATTTTTGCTCATTGTCGACTGCAGCCAGGTGTTTACCCTTTTTAAATGGAAGTGCTTTGAAGTTAGAGAGAATAACTTGATACAGAACCGGATGATCCACATATCCACTTTTTAAATCAATTTACTTATTATTTTGTTAGCGTTGGGAGTATAATTTGTTATGCAGTATATATATAGAAAAAACCTTGAAAGTTAGGGGGGCCGAAATTATCAAGCAAGCATTTCGTGGAACTATTTTTGAATACCTAGGAAAAATTTGGAAGTTAAGGGGGGCCCGGGCCCCGCCCCGGCCCCTACCTGGCTACGTCCATGTGTGGATTAATGTGTTAAATTATAAAAATATGTATATGATTTATAAAAAGAATTAATAAAGAAAATGTGAAAAATGGTGATTTTTTGTAAAAGAATTGGTCCATTTCAGTACATTTAAAGTTTCGGTTTGCGGGATGCGCCACTTTTGTTCTCTGCATCGTGAATGGTACCGCTACTTTGATTTTGACAATTATCGAGTAAAATTAAACAACTCGTTCCCGCGAGCCAACGTGTTTTAACCTTTTTTCTTTTTATAAATCATATATTTTTGCAATTTAACAAAACTGAACCATGTTTCTTATCAAAAAGTTGAATGTTAACAAATTCACCGTTGTTTTGTTTTACTTAGCATACGCCATGACCGCCATAAATGGGCAATCTGTGTACATATACTTTCCCGATAATAGAAAAAGTATCACTGTAAATATACATATAAATTCTTGGTGCATGTGTTCTAGGTAGGGAACATCGAATTTTTTTTGTTTAAATAAAACATCGGTTTTTCGATGCATCGTTCAAAATAACATCCATGGATTGACTCTCATTTTGTAAAGAATTCAGGAATAATAATTTGGACAGTATTTTTCCTTGCAATCTGTTTCGACATGAATGTATTGTCTTTGCGACTAATTTTGAATTCCGGTTCTGTCGATGAAATTTTATTGAAGTAAGTCCACACAACGCTTCTGGGCTTTGATTTGCTTATTTGAACACTTTGATAACACTGTGGAACAAATTTAGGTTAGCAAAAGTTAGGTCGATTCTGAGAGTGAGGGGTGAAAATAGAGGCTAAGGGAGAAGGGGAAGACAAAGATGAAATTCCAGAATATCTGTTGGACGAAATTATCGACCTTTCTGATGATGATGACGATGACCAAGATATTAGAGAGAGCAGTGATGTTGATCCACAGCCGCCTGCTAAACGGCAACTGGCCAAATCATTCATTTAATTTATTTAATTGTTTTACTTAAAATTTTTCAACTAACACAAAATATATTTCCTGTTATAATTTTTTCAATGTTTCTTCAAAACCAACACTGAAAAAATTGGTACATAAGAAATGAGAAGTAAGTTAATATTAAGCTGGAAACGCAAGTTTTGTATTATGATTGTTTTCTTTTCAAATGAAATTTATTGACGAAACTGAGAAGCATATTATAGATCAAACAGAAAGCAAAAAAGACTTAGTTTTGTGGAAAATATGTTCAAAAAGCATGAAAAAATTCCAACATTTTGCTTCATAAGCACTACAAAAATTTTCTAAATCAATTTTTTTTTTTTAATTTTAGTTGTTGCACAGGTCTCTAGCAATAATTTGGCTTTAACAGATTGAAAAATTATCAATTAGTCAACGAGTTATAGCCAAAAAACCATATAAACAATATGCTGAAAATCGGCATTTGACTGCAAAGTTCGAAGATCGATTAAAAAAAAATTCGAACAAACATAAACAAACTAATTTAGCCACTATTTTCAGCCCTCACTCTCAGAATCGACTTAACTTTTGCTAACCTGAATTTGTTCCACAGTGTATTGCATCCCTAGATCTAGGTCAATGTGAAGTCTCAGCATACACTGCAACGTTAGTGCATTCAAAAAATAATAAAGGCCCATCTATGTACAGCTTTGGCGTTGCGTTGGTGCTGGCGTCGCTTCACCAGGTGACTATGAATACACGAGTTCAAATGCAGCCGTCCATATAGCCAGTGTTGCCAGGTCTTTGGCATGAGAAAACGTCCCTTCTTGGTCTGAAAAAACGTCATTTCCTACCCAAAAACGTCTTTTCCAAATGTATGCACACAGAATTGTTCGTATTAAACTTTTATTGTATACAAAGGTACATACATATGTACGTAAGGTATATTAAAATGGCACTTCGACAGAGCACATTTAAAATTCATTAGAATCGCATTCATTAGAATTGCTCAATTCGGTGAATACCACTATTGTACACTGGTTTGAGGTTGTTAATATAAAAATCATTTAATACATACACTTGTGATCAGCTGATTAAGTCATCAACATTTTGATCGATTTTGGTTGTTTTTCTTTTGTTTATTTAATGTTTATTATTTGTCCATAAAAGCCTATCTCATTATATAACAAACACAATATAAATCCATATTTCAGACTTTGTGCAAAAATTTAAAAAAATCTGCAAAGTTTCAGCTAGATTTTCGACTTTCTATTCAGATCTTTTAGAATGTTTTTGAGTATGCAGTTTGATATCCCATCAATTTCAGGGCAAGAATGTGCAAGTTTTAATTTGCTAAAGAATAATCGCGTTGATTTTTATTATATTTTCAATGAAGTCTTAAAAAAATCGCCTACTTTTTTCTAACTTTTTACGATGCTAGAGCTTTTTTGGTACTTTTGCGAGCGTGCGTGTTGCAATAGATCAGCTCTTCCTGATTTGGCTTTTAAAGTGCAATTGCAAACATTGCAATAAGCCTCGTAACCTCAAGTGTTTACACAACCAGCCTTTGATCCTTAGTCCAAGAATAAAAAAAAATGCGCGTACGCTTGGTTTGCATCATATTTAAGTCATCTGTGTCCAAACAGTAAATATCTTTTGAAGCAACTGGTGCAAAAAGCAAAGCTTGTAAAGATTTATTAAGAAAATAATTCAAAATCAGTTCTACTTACGAGATTTAGTAACAAATTTGTCGAAAGTGTGAGCGGAAGTATTTACTCTACAAACAAATAGTACGCTATACATTGAATATATCGCACGTTTAATAATATAGAGATGTAACTCAAAATATGTTCAGTATAATAGATAACCAACGTTCCCAAATATAGCGAAGATATGTCTTTCCATCTGTCTTTTTGTATATCACCTGTATGAATTGATTGCGTTATCCGACAAAATTGAAATTTTTAAATACTTCGTTACATTATTAAACGTGCGAGACGAAAATTACTGGGAAGTTAAAAAAGTCATTTTTTACACAAAAAACGTCTAAACGTCAACAGGATACAAAAAACGTCCAAATGACGTTAAAAACGTCAACCTGGCAACACTGCATACAGCCCAAATTTGGCAACGCTAACGCCAACGCCNCTTTCCATCTGTCTTTTTGTATATCACCTGTATGAATTGATTGCGTTATCCGACAAAATTGAAATTTTTAAATACTTCGTTACATTATTAAACGTGCGAGACGAAAATTACT